ATTTAACGAAGAAGATGATTGGAGGCACGGGATACTTCTTGATATTCATTAGGAGATATTCACTTTATTTGTCAACAGTGGATTTCCATGGAGTGACTCTACTGTGGGAGGTATTTCAAAATTTATGAAACGAAGTACAAGGTGAGCTATTACCCTGATTGGATGTAGATCAAGATATATACATACTCAAATTTCTTGTAAGGATCCATTAAGAAGATACATATACCCATGTAATCAATACAAGTTTCATTTAACATTTATGCTAACTTTCAACTCGTCCATCGATGAGTGTTGTCGCTGCTGGTGTTATGTGCTACCTAACTATGGATAAAAGGCTGGTTGAGGTATTAAAAACCATTACCTGTCACATATCAGCCTTTCCTTTTTTGATCGTGATTGACTTTGTGTACAGTTATCCCACACTGTACAAAATTCTTCATTGTTTAATGGTGTCTTTGACATGTACAAAATTTAACGAACAAAATTCAAGACTTCGCGTATACAGAACAAATGGTTCGGTCCTATGCAAGAAAAATGTAACCAAAATCTTATGGCTGAAAAAATTATGTAGTCGAATGCTGTTGAAAACAGAAAGCAAAGTTCTTGTATGACCTAAGATCTTGTTCAAATGCTTACTGTTTTGCTTGTGAAAGATCTGGATCAGCAAAATTAGAGATTCAATCTATAGAACTGGACTTGAAGGTAGTCAGTTTCTTAAATTTTTATACTGACCTACCGTATTTATTCGCCTATAAGCCGATCTCGGCTATAAGCCGAGACCCTAAACTTTTTCATGTCAGCAGCTGTTGCATTGAAATAAAAAATAAACACAAAACATTCGGCTATAAGCCGAGACCTAATAATTGCAAAGTACTCCACGCGTGTCGTTAACTGAGATGAATTAACATAAACCGAAAACAAAAGGAGCTTCCCTCTCGGGAAACATACAACCAAAAAGTAGGTTATGAATAAACATAGATCATTCTAGATCGCTAGAGATTACGGAATCAGTGAATCGACGGTGCGTCGTCAAACACTACTGGACTGGTTTTCAGAGCAGAGGAGTCAAGGTAAGTATTTCGTTTCTTTAAAACAATGAAAAGCTTCGATCAGCTGATATCTGTCAGATCGTGTTGCACACACAAACCGTGGGAATGACCGCTTCTGATTGGCCAGTTTTTCCTGTTGTCAAATTTCGAATCTTGTTAAGTACCCGTAAATTTTTTTTGGCGAAAATACTCGGCTATAAGCCGAACCCCCTACCTTGGCGAGAATTTACCTGTTCTCAGTTTAATTTGTTGGAAAAATCGCTCGGCTTATAGGCGAATAAATACGGTAAATTTAGTCTTTGTTGAGTCATTTGTGCATTTCATTTGGAGTAATATTGGACAAAAATCTCCCTTTTTATTCCAAGACTTATGCAAAAGTCACTGATTGGCCAAAACTTTCTTGTATACTTTTCCAGAAAGTGAAATCTCATGACTGGTATTGTGTTGCACTGCAGTTTGTCTTTTTGCTGTTGAATGATAATAAGGTGCTTTTCTTTTTGATGAGATGTTATTTAACCCTTGAACTGACTCTCAGATCAAATTTATAATTCTCCTTTCTGTCAACCATACAATTCTTATCACGTTAACTCAGATAATTTAGTATTGAATCAACTAATTATTCCCAAATTGATATTTTTCTTAATTGTCTTCACTTACCTGGTTGATATTGTATTGATATTGTAAGGAGAAATTCTGTTTTGGTCACTCATGGGAGTTAAAGGGTTAAAGAGACATAAGGTGTAGAAATTGATTACAATTAGTCAACCAGAGCTTTCAAGTCCATTTGCTAGCAAAGAGTGAGATCTCATGGGCATCATCTATCAAGGGTGGGAGGGGGAAGGGGGTATGGGGGCATGTTCCCACAGAAAATTGTGAAAAAAATGAAATAGCTGAGATGTGCATTCCTTTAATCTGAGAGAAAATTCTGCCATTAAAAAGTGTGTGACACGAGTGCATAAGAAACAACTGAAGGAGTAAATTATATTTGGAAGGATAATTAATTTTGTAGGTACTTAATGAAAGTACCTACAAGAATTTGCGATAGCAGTTTGCTATCGCAAATTCAACCAAATTAATATGAAACCTTAAAGGGGTGAGAAGTACTGGCTTTAGCATGAGAGTGTAAGATTGAATTTGTTTGTGTGAGTCTCTCGCTCAATGCATGAGACTTGAGAGCTTTGAATCAACTCAACACATTTTGCATACTACAGCAATTTTTGCTATTGTTTTTTTTATTTACCCAGTAATTTACAAAGAATTCTTCAGTTCATGCCATTTATTTATTAATAGTACTGTAAATTTTTAGTGGGTAGGGAGGTTCATCATAAAAGGAAATGACAGGATGGGGGCTGGAAGAATAAAATAACATTTCAATATTCCAAAAAGAAAAAAATTTCTAAACTTGAATGGGTCTGTTCTATCTTTAGAATAATGTTCACCAACCAAGTGTCAAGCAAGAAAACAAAATCAAAAAGTGGAATTTAATACAATTAAAACAGAGAAACTGTATTTTCAAGGGGTTTAAAATAGTCATAATAAATGTAAGTTCATTACAATTTTTCTACCCTTTTTTTTGATAGGTCCCTGCCTGATTGTCTATGATGACGCTTGTAATTTGCATTTGTAAAGATTGATGAAATTGAATCCAGTATGGAACTATTACATGTGGAGTTCCCCAGGGTTCAACGCTCAGGCCATTGTTATTCTTGCTTTATATTAATGATTAACCAAACTCCTCTGAGAAGCTTTCTTTTAGAATATTTGCAGATGATACTAATGTTTTCTTTACCGGTAGTAATCCAAATGAGGTTGAATGTACAATGAATGAAGAGATTAAATTAGTTTTAAATTATTGTTCTATTAATAAGTTATCTTTTTAAGCAAATGAAGATCATCGCAGTATATACTCAACTTAAGCAGTTGAGAAATAAGGCCTGAACTGCTTAAGTTGAGTATATACTGCGATGATCTTCATTTGCTTAAAATGTATTTTCCGCAGTACAAATATATGACTTTCATGTATTCTTATCACACCTTCTCCATCTACGGGTATATAACGAACTCACAATTGACCAGCTCCCAGTTGGCTTGATAGCTCAGTTGGTTAGAGCGCTGCACCGGTATCGCAGAGGTCATGGGTTCGATTCCCGTTCAGGCCTTATTTCTCAACTGCTTAAGTTGAGTATATACTGCGATGATCTTCATTTGCTTAAAATGTATTTTCCGCAGTACAAATATATGACTTTCATGTATTCTTATCACAATAAGTTATCTGTAAATTTCAAGACTGTTTTTTTGTTTGTTTGTTTGTTTTATCACAGATATATAGGAAACTGTTTTGTTCATGAGTTGTCATGAATCACTCACAATGACAGTATTAATTTTGTTATTCCTCATTATTTTCTTTTATATTGGACTGAAGCTTATATCATTAATACCTCCTCGTTTCCGACGAGGATTTTACATACATTTTTTAATAAACAACAGATCTCTTACCATACATAGGAGTGTAAATTTCACAGCAGTTTAAATATTTACGGTGTTATTATTTATTTCTAGGATGTTTCTGATGATGAAATCATTGCAGATGGTGAATTAAGTTCTGCTTGAGCCACTGATCCATGCTCTCTGACAGACCTTGTGCCTGTTACCTCCCAGTTTACGCTCATGTTAAAGCTGTTGAACAGCAATACTTTTACCGTCATTGGCAGCAAGATTTCTTTGTTCACTTTACTGGATTTCAACACAGTTACAAAGAAATTGCTTGTAAGTGCCAGGGATATTTCTCATAAATATTAAGGATAAGACCTAGGTAGAGGCACTTATTATTAATATTCCCAAATCTTGGCCAGCAGGCTGATCATTGTTTATAGGTTATTTTTGTAGCACTAGTGTTGATCTTGTTTTGTACTGCTAGTACTGTAGTACAAAAAGAAATGACCACAATTTATGTACTACTAGTAAGTAGACCTTTCCACCTAAACAAGACTCAAACCTGGGTAGTATTAATACATCACTGTATACACGCAATATAAAATATCCTAATTACACACCTTTGGTATTCATAATTATTTTTGATTTTGTTGAATATTTTATATCTAACGTTTAATATTTATTTATATTTTGGGTTCTCTGCACTGTAGTTTCTAGTGCATCTTGTACATGTACAAGGAGGTTTGACATTCTGTGACTTGGCACAAATTGTTTGTACCCCTGGGCGCATCACAAATGTCTGTTTTTTTTTATTGGTTAGCACAGTAGCTATGTAGATTACTCATAAATAGATATAATGTTGTACTTGTGCTTATACCAAGCAAAATCAATCATTTACCTTACATGTTTTTTATCCTCTACCATCAGGAAGCCAAATACGTGATTGTTGAAAGAGAACCCAGGGATAACATTTGATCTATTATTGCAAATTTGTTGAAGGCACAAGGCAAACAGATTATTTGCAGTCACTGTCATCAACAGTCACAGGAGAGAGTAAGTACAAGCATATAAACTGATATAAATAATTTATAAAAATGATCCAATAAAATTGTTCATCCAAGTCACAGTTTTAATGTAGACAATAACTGTATCTCATGTGCACATTCATTAAGTGCCATTCATTTCTGTTTATACATTAGGAGGCAACTGCAGTTCCCATCCTCTTTCTTACAGCTTCTCTTTTTTATTGTTGCCAATTATTTCTCCAGCCTCCTTTAAGCAGCCTCTTGTGCTGGTCAAATGTTTTTTCTATTGAATTCTAACAACCTGAGTTGTGAAATGAAAGGCTCCAACTACTAGTAACAGGATTATAAGCTGTCTTCATTTAGCTATTTTGTTTTGAATCTGACCCCTGTGTCTTTGACTGTGTCCCAGGCCCCAGTGCCATAATTTTCTTCTTTGCATTTCAGTATTAAATTGAGTAATAAATTATATCTAATAATAAATATTGTTTATTAAATGTTTCTCACAGGTTTAACTGCAGCTAGTTCTGTTTATGGGGATTGCATCCATATTAAAGCCACTGAAAAGTTGATAGAAAGCTTTGACAGGGAAAACAACGTCACCCCTTCACTTGCCAGAGACACATATTCTCATGATCACACTTACCAAGTAAGATGAATGAATTTTTTGCTTTAGAACTTTAAAATTTTGGAAGTATTACTGAGTTAAACATCAATCTTACTTTCATCAACATTTTTCTGGTTATTTTTCACTCATCCTAATGATTTTAGTTTAAATTAAATAATGTTAGAGCATAATTTGTGTATTTAAACAGCTAGGCCCCCTTCAGAGTACAGCTATTTATGAATCTTAGTTTATGATATTCTTGGAGAAATGACAAGTGCATTATTTGCTGTTAGTAGCTGTAAACATCATATTTTTCCATTTGTATCTGTTATTTAAGTAAAGACTATCTGAAATGATTGTAGCATTTCCACAGTCTACTTACTTTTTGTTCTTGCTGTTTTTCTATCTCAGGAGGAAAATCATGACTTATTGCCTGTGAATGGGAATAATTTTACCATTTTTGTACATGGAAATAAACAGCATGGAGTTGCCGGCCTCCAAGGTGCACTTATCACCTGCTTTATCTGTGATCACCAGCATCACAACTGTGAGCATGTAACAAAAGTAACAGAATCTGAGGAAACAGTAAAACACAGAATGCCTCATTTTCTGGTGAATTTTTTTTGCTGAGAGAAAACTTTGAGAGTCTACTGAATCAGTTGCAGCAGCCATCACTTGTAAAGAGTGGAAAATGAGAGCAGTATCTTGTAAAAAAAATACCATTCCATCTATCAACAACACAGAAAAACGTATTCTCCTCTCTGGAAGATGTTCTTTGTGGCAAATTATCAACTACTGATTTGGTGCTGCTTACTCCCAACTTGTCTCCCTCCTGCCCAAAGTGTTCATCACAGTTCAGTAGTCAGACTACAAAGCTTTGTGCTTTTTGAAAAAGCAGACATGGAAATGTGAAGTTTAGAATGAATTTAAAAATGACATTATTGTGACATCTGAATATCAAGTAATGTACTTAGTTCAATAAGTTTAAATGTTTCTGGAACACACCCAGAAGATGCACCTATAGCAACAATTATAATTTACAACAATTATACTAAACAATGTAAGACTCATTTGTCTGCACATGATGGTTTGCAATGAAAATCAGGTACCAGAAAAAAACGAATAATCAAAAAATTATTAGCTGAAGGTTCTGATCTGTTGTATCTCTGAAGTTTTGCCTGTGACATTAACTGAAAATCATTGTAATAAGAATGATATAAAATTGTACATGTATGTTATTCAATTGTCTTTCAAAAAGCTATATTTAAATTATGTTCTCTTTTTTTAGGTGTACTCTAATTACATACTACAGTGTCTGGCAAGAGATCATGGCTGATGCAGATGTATTGGACTTCAAGAGGTTGCTATCATACCACCACTGGCGTTTTGCTTGGTACAGTTTCCTGGACCTTCTTGACATAAACTATGAAGAAGGTTTTTGTTGTGCCATCTGTGGCAAAGATAACAGTCTGGACACTGTCATTTGTGATGCTACAGCACTATCTTTCAGACAAGAGCTTTCTACTTCACTGAAGTCTAGTTATTCATCTCTGAGTCCATCCACTGAACCACAAGAAACAGGAAGATAAGTTGCTATTTATGCTTATGATTTTTTTTTTGGATATTTTATGCATCATTTATCCTATCATTTTTGTTCCCAGTATGATTCAAGGAGTTTTATTCTAGAGTGTGAGCATAATATAATATATTAATCTAGCTGTTGATATCAAGACTATGACTTGATTCAGTTTGATTACTGATTAATATAATAATTTTAAATATTTTTAATCCTTCACCTTGGGCTGGCACCTTGTCGTGGTGGTGAAGCTTGTGTGTCTCATTGACCCTGCAAAGACCTTGTAATGAGGTTTTCTTTTTCTGGATCAGTTGTGGGGTTGAGACCAGACTAAGACCAGCTCCAGTTCCTCCTACATTCCACTGGGATAGACTTTTAATGTGTCTTAATATCACCTGTTTTTATTTGCCTTATTTGAGGAGATCTGCATTTACGCTAATTATTTCATATTTTATGACACCAGAAGGCATTGTTACAGGGTTTACCTTGCTGAGAAACATGCCAGGCAGATGGTGGATCAAGCAGGCCATGATGTTAGCAAGGTTACATTACAGACACAGTAATGACCTCTTTACACCTGGAGTTGCAGCGTTGTGCACCTGCCTTAGGTAGTTTTCTTTCCTGGTGCATTTCATTCTATGTATCTGATGCTCTTTTCCAACACCTATTGCTGGATTTTTCAATGCATTAGGAAAAGCTTCCCTGGTGTGTGCACTTCTCTCCTAATTGGACTCCTTGGAAAAATTTTAATGTACACTCATTGGCAATGAACCAGTCAAGCAGTGTCCTGAAGACATGCTTCTACTCCAGCAAACTTTTCCACTCCTGTTTGACATAGTTAGCATTGTGGAGGGAGATCAGCTTCCTGAGGCCTTGACTGCATTTATTATTGACCTTTTGGAAAAAGCAAAGTCTCCGTTCAGCAGAAATGGATCAATACCAGATGCTGTGCGATTGGATGTACACCGCACAAATGATGTAGAATACTATCCTTGCCTACCTGTGGTAAGAAGTCGTAGTGACTATTGCCCGGATGACACAACTCCAAACATCTGCACATAGAGGAGTACTCGACACCCATCCGTACTTCCTGGAGTTTTCTTAGTGCACTGTAAACAAGGTACAATAATGTTATGAGTTTGTATTAGTATTTGTATTAATTTCTACAACAAACAACATTACTTCTGATATAAAAAATGTAAATTTGAGTTCACTCTGACCCCCAACTAGCTATTGTTACCCTTTATATATTCCAGATTATCCTGACAAGCTCCAGGTTTACGCTCTGCCTGTGGTTTTAGTTATCAGGTTTAGATTTTTCTCAGCAAATGTCATTTCCTTGAAAGACCAAAACTGTTTGTAACGCTTAGTTTTCAAAGGATAACATTTCCAGCTGTGAAGTCAAAAAATGGCACAAATTAACTGACATACCTGTCTTGGTTTGTTTTTTTTGCTGTTTACAGACTAAATCAAAGTTTTTCTCACAATTAATTGGCTAAATGGCATAACGAGTTGTATAAATAAAGGTTGTTGATTTCTATTGACTAGTGATGTACCCCAGTTACACCCTCTCTTCAGCCTTCATTACATGTTCTTTCACAACATGTACGCAGTGTTGCTGTGATTATGTGTAAAATGGTTTTATATCCTCTCTTTTGATTTCCATTTTAGGTATAACTTATGGATTTAGTGAAATGCTTTGCAATGAATCTCCTAACATCCCATTTACAGTGTTTCAAATGCATTTTTCACAAGGTAAGCTTAATTTAATGTGCATGTGTATGTTGTGACCTTTGATTAGATGCGGTTGTGTGTGAAGAAAATTTCTTTTTATTACCTGGGGTCGGTTTAAAGGATGAATAACACTATCCACTGGAAAATCACCATCCAGTGGATAGTGTTGTATGTTATCAAAACACTTATAGGTGAATAGAGATTCATTCTGTGGATAGTGTTATCCACCCATTGAACAACTGGGGCCTGGTTTTTTTGGGAGTTTTTCTTCTCTTTATTTCATCTATCAAAGTGATTTTATATTAAACGAGTCATAATAAATGTAGGTTCCTTACGATTTTTCTGCCTGATTGTCTACGACAACTCTTGCAATATGCATTCGTATTGTTTAAATCAGGATCCTGTCTTTTTCAAGAACTCTCAGTTCCTTGTGGATCAATTGCATTGGCAGGATCATACAGGTACGTAAATCACCCCAAAACTGGCTTCTTTGGAGTGGTCATTAGTCTTTGGTGTTCATTTAGCGATGCCCTCGGGTCTATCCCCTCCTACTAACCCAATGGAAAAGTGTGTGACATGAGTACATAAGAAACAACTGAATGAGTAAATTATATTAGGAAGGATTATTAATTTTGTAGGTACTTAATGAAAGCAGCAGTTTGCTATTGCAAATTCAACCAAATAAATACAAAGCCTTAAAAGGAGTGAGAAATACTGGCTTTAGCATGAGAGTGTAAGACTGAATTTGTTTGCGCGAGTCTCTCGCTCAATGCATGAGACTTGAGAGCTTTAAATCAACTCAACACATTTTGCATACTACAGCAATTTTTGTTGTTGTTTCTTTTATTTACCCAGTAATTTACAAGGAAATCTTCAATTCATGCCAATTATTTAATAATGGTACTGTAAATTTTTTAGTGGGTAGGGAGGTTCATTGTAAAAGGAAATGACAGGATGGGGGCTGGAAGAATAAAATAACATTTCAATATTCCAAAAGGAAAAACATTTCCAAACTTGAATGTGTCTGTTCTATCTTTAGAATAATGTTCACCAACCAAGTGTCAAGCACGAAAGCAAAATCAAAAAGTAGAATTTAATACAATTAAAATCGATGAACTGTATTTTCAAGGGGTTTAAAAACAAAGAGACAATTGTAATACTGTAATCAATGCTGTCTCCACTGCCTTTGGTGTAAACTTCACCAATAACTATTTTTTTTGATGAGGCAAACCCCTTGAGGAGGCTATAACACTGTTTTAAAAAACAGCTCAACAGAATTGCCCATTACTCCTGCAAAAACAACCTCAAGTCTTTAAAGCCATCCAGGAGTACTGGTTATTAACCCTTTAACTCCCAGATCAAATTGGTAATCACTATGAACTCAAAACCCATGAAAATCTTGTGAAATAATTCATGGTAAATTCACAGATTTTTCACTGGATTTTCATGGCTAAATCAATGACATTTTCATGGTCTCAGTGCCATGAAAAAGACCTGAAAAATCCCATGAAAAACCTGTGAAAATTTCCATATTCACGACCCATGAAATATTGAGTAAAGTGACCTGAAAGCCATGAAATACCCATGAAAATGGCATTTCATGGCCTTTTCAAAGGTACTGAGAAACCCATGAATTTCAAGCCCAAAATTTCATGGTGTCAAAGTTCACTAGTTTTTAATGGGTTGCAGCAAATCATGACCCATGAATATCCTGTGAATATGTAAAAAATTCATTGACCATGAAAATTTTCCTTGAATTTTCATGGCCTCTACATGGTTTTTTCATGGCACATGAAAGTTAATTGCCAGTTAGTTTTCATGGGGTTGTTAGGAATATGCAAGCACCATGAAAATTCTTTGGAAACCCTATGAATTTGGAATTAAAAATTCTTCACTTTTTTTGTACCAAAGACTGTACTACAGTGTATAGCTTGCAGTATACCATAACTGTAATACATACACTATCACTTAAATTATACACTGAAGAACTAACCTATCTATGAAACTTCTTGGTCCTGTTGTACAAGCACACACACATGAAAGACATGACCAGAAGTCTCGATTCTCTGATAGTTTATTTTGTTTCACCAGCTGTACATAAATATTACTTTAGGATTCCAAAATTGTGATAATTCAGTTTACACTTTCTTAAATAAAAAAAGTTGGTATGAAATTTTCTGCATAAAATTAAGATGTTAATGATTTTTAGCTCTATTTTGATATCACTGATTTTCCTTGTGGAGACAGATTCTGCTCCTATATTTCTGTTTATTTAAACTATTTTGAAGGTATATTATAAATAAATTTGATGTGAAAAATA